TATATATATATATATATATATATATATATATATATATATATATATATATATATATATATATATATATATATATATATATATATTTCTAATTTAAGGTAGGTATTTCCAAGCAAAGGAGATTAAACCAATGAGAGCTCAAGGTAAGTTAAAGAGTAATATAATGATAAATTAAAAACCACATCGGTTAGAATTTATTTGATGATTAGTTTTATATTCATCTCTTCAGACGGAAAGTTTTTTTTAAGAAATGGAATCAATCCATCCAGACAGACATACCGAGATAAAAAGGAGAAAGGAGGAAAAAAAGGGGAAAAGAAAAAAAAGAAAGAAAAAAAGGGGAAAAAGAAAAAGGAAAAAATATTAATAATAAAAAAAGGAAAAAAATAAATAAATAAATAAAAATTACAAATATAAAAAAATAAATTAAGGGAAGAAAGAAAGAGAAAGGAGGAGGACGAGAGAGGGTGTTGGAAAGAGAGAGAATATAAAAGAAAAGAAGAGAAAGAAATAAATGATGCGCCATTAGCAAAATTAAATAAATAGAATGAACTAGAATTTTTTCCTTAAAATGGCTGAACAAGTTAATAAGGAAGAGGGGGATCGAAAGTAAAAGAGATTCAACAATTTGTCTAATAAAGTCATTTCATTTTGAACAGCAATCATCATCACATAATACGATCATCATCAGTTTAAACTATTAATGATAATAATAATAATAATAGTAATAATAATACCCCACATAAATAAAATAATATAATAAATAGATGAATATAACAATATTCATTAAATAAATTATAATCGATATGGATTTTAAGGTGTTTTCTTGATTTATCTTTATATACATTCACACACACACACACACACACACACACACACACACACATACACACACACACACACACACACACATATATATATATATATATATAGATAGATAGATAGATAGATAGATAGATAGATAGATACAAATTACATTTATGCATATAAACAAAGATATATATATATATATATATATAATAGCGGCCACTAGTATTCGAGGATACCTTCTACTAGGGCGGCTAGCCAATCCCTATTGCAAACGCTCGCTCAGGCGCATTTGTGTTTCATCAACACCCACAGAGCCCATATTTTGTTTATACTGCAACTATACTGAGCAGATCTTAGTTACAGTTTCTGGGAGAGAGCGTGTTATCTATCATGGTCAACAATTTGAACAAGGCCAGCACCCTCAAACCTTCAGTCACGATGTCATGTGACTTCGTGCTAGCATAGCTATCGACGGTCAACTCGTGGTATGGTTTTTCAGGCACTTTCCAAAGGAACCGCCCGTTGGTATCGTTCCCTTCCAGACCGATAACATCAGGAAGTCTCCTTCCTCACAAATCGACCATGGTGAGATTCGAACCCGGGTCTCATACGAATGTTCTAACGACTCAGCCTTGCGCCCATTTACACACAACACACATGTATATATATATATATATATATATATATATATATATATATATATATATATATATATATATATATATATATATATATATATATATATATATATATATATCATATTAACTATCAAATTTAATGTTTA